GTACAGTGTGTTTTAAAGTAATCTCTCCACATGGAGCTCTGGGATTCTTCACCCTAGTGTTGTTTTCTGTCTGTAGTCACACCCTGATTTATGATGCTATTGAGATTTGAGCAAAGTGAATGAGCCTTTAAGCTGTTGCAGTGTTTCCACTAGTGAAGCAGAGCTTGCGTATAAAGTCGCATGAAAACAGGAAGGTGATGGACTGTAATGGAAAGTCTGTCCGGCTGGTTCTGCCAACCCTGATATTAGCAAGTGCTCTATAAAATCACTGAGGTTCACCCATGTGAACAGTGGACACTGTGTTTTATAAATGCAGAGGCCTGAACACAGCCGACCAAGCGATGTGAATAAAGAATAGTTTAAATATCGTTCAGTACAGCTGTGAAGTCAAAAGCATTTTAGGTTGATCGAGTTACTGATTTGCATATCTTGGTATCATTTTGCACTTGCTCATAAGAGACTTTAAAATTCAAAATCTGCTCATCGAGGCTTTAATTTTTAAGTACAATGAAGGATGAGAAAAGCTGAAATTAGCTTGTAGAAACACAGAGATGCTCAAAAATTATACACTAAAAGCGAATACAAATTAAAAATAACTTTAAATTGTTGAGAGAGGAGCTGTTGAATGAAAAATGGTGTTGTAGAAAAAGAGATTATTTCCAGGTCCAGATCAGGCATCAGTCTCTGACACTCTCCTTCAGCTGCTTCTGCCCTTGTGGTGAATGAGTGGCACTGGTATAGCTCATTATGTCGAGCAGGAGGGAAGATTAAATTGAATGAGGTCAAAGTTCCAAGTTAGACGATGGAGATTGACCCTTTGTGATCCCTCACTTCCTGGTCAGCTTTAGAGCATCTCACCCCAGTGTGGGCATGCAGTGTCTATCAAACAAGGGCCGTATTGTATGGACGTACAGCCTCTGCAGGAACAGCGCCAAGTCTGTCTTGGCAAGGATATAGCGTCACTGTGATCAACATCTGAAGCGCTTTAAAAAAAAAAAATTAAATCAATCATGGGTTCACTGATAAGTCAGCTGTTCCCACCAGTGAGCAACAGATAAATGGTAAAGACCTTGTTTTTGATATATGTGGACGATCATTAACTCTAGTATGTACCTTCTTTTGTCAACAATTCCCCCAAAGATAGTGAGCAAAGACATCTGACAGTGACCTTATGTGTTGTTGTACAAAGAAAAGTTATATAGAGAGCTTCCCTTCCTTCAGTGTCAACCAGCCGTGGACAGGCCTTGGAGGGAAGGAAGCCTCTGGCAGAGACGAGGGGGTATAGAGCCCCCAGCCTCATCCATTGTGGTCATGGCTGAGTGCAGGCCAGGCCAGATCTCCTGGGGACAACACATGGCTGCAGGACCTACACTCTTCAGTAGAGTGAGACGGGGTTAGCTCAGTACCACACAGACAGAAGGAAAGAATGGAAAATGAGGGGATGAATCATTGTTTCTATGCTTCTGGCAAAAATTAGTCTTCCATGTTCAGTTTAGCGCTACATGCTGGATGCAGAAAATGGGACACTACATCTGAGGCATCACTGTGGGGTTGATTTTATGACTGACGGCTGTTTTGAAATCATCACACTGAAAGAAAAACACATCAAAACATTTTCATATTGTTCCATTTGTTTGATTTTTTTCATTCATGGCACAACAATAAAACTTTGTTGGATTCACTTTTTTGCTCTGGTGGTTTGAAGGCAGGTTTAGCAATTGTGGTTCTGCTAGATGGAAAAACACTTTTTCTTTTTTTTTTCCCCCTTTTTTTTTTTTTTTACATTTAAGATTTGAGTCCAGTCCAAAGAGGTTATGACACAATCTTCACATTTATAAAGGAAACTGCTCGCTGCACAAAGTCTGGCAGGGAGAACGGGAGACACAGGAGCTGCTTCCTTTTAAATAGCTTTTCCATATGAGAAAGCCATAGCCACATGCTGACATACCTGCTCAATCCCTGAGCAGGAGGACGGCGCTGGTGTTTAAAGGATGGTCTAATTTTTCACAGTCCTCGGCAAAGGCATCTGAGGCTCTTTAAGGCAAGGACACCGGAGAGGTTTAGCATCCTCCCTGCTCCTCCCCCCCAACCATGTGTGTGTGGTCTCCTGCTGCAGATCCAGGTTTTAGAGGTCAAGAGGTCAAAACTGGGTACTGGAATGTTTATGTTCACTGCTCCTGTTAACACCAATATCCGTAGTGCTGCGTCTCGCTCTTCTGGAGGAATATCTCTGAGAACACAAAGACAAAGAAATGGTTCCTAATGATAACGCGTGTTAGTTTGACTCTCTTGCTCTTTGTTTGGTTTCTTGGAACTTGGCAAGCAGAACCAAAGGCAAACATGGAGCAATTGAAAGAGCAAAGATAGATTACTGTGGCAATAAGTGTTGAGAGTTAATCAATATAAAGACAGCCGAGGAAAAATGTCTTGAATAACAAATATATAAGATGATCATCAAGGACGATAGCAATTGAAATATAGTCAAACCTTATTTAAGCACAAATAAGGAAAAGAGACTGTTAAATAAAAAGTGTTTGTGAGGACACATCGCTCTTGGCACAGTTTAGATTTGATACGTCCTTTAAGAACAGGCCGTCTCACTCGGGCACAGTACAGTAAACCCTCCTGGATATTGTGCATCCATTTGTTTAGAGATCTGTGTATCAAAGCATGGGAAAGGAGGTCTGGATGGCATCCAGTGTTTTTTTAAATTCTCACTGTTAACCACAAACACACACAGTTTGGGGCTTTTCGACCATGGCACTCGCCTTCCAGTTGTGTGCCAACAAACAACTCCACACACGCACACACACACACCACACCCACACACTCCCCCAACTCTCCCCCCTCTGCGCACAACTACATAGGAGAAACGGCTGTTTGTTTATGACCCATTTAAAAAAAAAAAAAAAGGGAGTTGCGAAATGTTGCTGCAAATATGAAAGAAAATGCTGTAGCTGCTTGGGGAGTGGTCTGGATTTTTTTGAGTTGGGGGGGGTGTAATTCACAAACTGATGTGTGTGTGGGAGGGGAAAGGGAGCAGAGCCAGGCATAGGGCGGTATATGAACAATTTCGTATTCTGTTCCTTTTCTCCCCCATCCCCCAATTTTTTTTTACTTCCCCTCTCTCTCTCTCTCTCTCTCTCTCTCTCTCTCTGCTTCAACCACCCTCCTCCCCCCACCTCCCCTTCCTCAATCCCCTCTACTAGCAGGTTGTTTAATACTTTCCAGATTTCAGCATGCCTTCAGCCTCCTGGAAGAGTTACAAGTCTGCTGATGGAATTTGGCGGAAAAGGTTGTGGGTCCAGGCAGGAGCTCCTGACATAATAAACTTAAAGGCAATGAGCGCCTCCCATTGGTAGCTCCAGTAAGAAAATAGGGTTTTCAAAGAGAGCTGGAAACCAAATGACATTTGACAGCCTCAGAAGCAGATGAGAAACTACGTACAGGGTGTTTGAGAGGGAGAAACAGCTGCAAGGCTTGACTCAGATTACAATGAATTTGTGTGTGGGGGAGGGAGGTGAGCTGAGCCCCCTGAACAAATCAGCAGTCTCCGGTGTCAAGTTCAAAAGTGCTGAACAACGAGAGCCGTTGTGTTCGCGTCCTGCCTCTTACTACAAATCATCCAAATGATCTCATTTGATTGTCTTGAGGGTTGACTTTGAGGTTTTTCCTTCTGACCATGATTTTTCTGTCGAGATTGCAGAATGTGGGTGTGACACTGGGGCGTGAATGACGTCAAATGAATCCATAAATATGATGTTTTCAGGTATAAGATTATGCCGCGGTATTAAAAAAGATCAAATTACAACTCCACAGTCACTGACACACCCATCGACACGGATGGGAGTTTCCACAACCACTAGATGGCAGTAAATAACAAGCTTTGGATGAAGCAATCTGCTCTGTGGGGCTGCAACAGTCAGCAGCACAACAGAGTGATATATAATTCTGTTACAAGGAGAGAATAAAGACAAGCCTCTCAGGATGAAATGCAGAAGTGTTGACTAGTGAAGATTTAGTCTTTCCTCCTCAAAGAAAATTCCTAACAATCTGTAAGAAGAACAATGGCTTCATACAGGCGGAGAAAAGAAGAATCAATACCACTACTGGTTTGTATTGACCACAACAATCAATATAAATGGCCTGTTTCTTACCACAAGTGTAAGAATAATGACTTTTTCGAGCCCTCTGGCAGATTGGACATTGGCATAATGTGACTATGAAAAACTGAAAGTGGAAAGAGATTAAACATCCCCTAAAGTGGAGATGAAAGACCGAATCGAAATGAGATACCAAAGAGGAACGGAGCCAGTGTTTCCAGCATGCAGTTTTAATGCGGAGGGATGCAGGGGTGAGACCTTGAATTGTCTACAGCCAGTGTTAACAAAACATAGTGCGCTGAACTTTGCCCAGGCTGTGAGGGAGCTCAGTGGTGCGTGAAAAGCCAAAGCATGGCCTGTAAAATCAAAAGTGACAGAACAGTTTTGGGATCCATGATGATGAGTAGTGATCCCGGTCTTATGTGACTCTTGGACTCATCCATCCTCCAATCAACAGGGTGAGAAGAATTACCTGTCATCGCTGTTTATCGGTCACAGCTCTCCTCGGTGATAAACTTGTCCTCCTCCATTCATTTTTCACCCCTCTCACACCAGTGCAAGATGAGAATATAGCTGTACCAAAAGGGCTCCTCAGAAAACAGGTTTAAAATGAGCCCTAGATTCAGTCACTCGATTCTATCTCACATATTCACTCATGAGTCATCACATCATTGTACTTCAGAGATGTGCCCAGCTAAGGCCACGAAGGTCTCAATTGTTTCCTTCCTTCCTCTTCTGGGAGAGCCAAAGAATAGCATCAGGAAACAGAAGAGGCACTCAAGGAATTCCTTTGTTAATGCTGCTAACTGAGCACCACTTCATGCACTCACTGCATCTGCGAAACTGTTATTTATCTTCTGACGCACTGCCACAAAACGGCTATAAAATATTCAAGAGTAAAGATATTCAGGCTTTCTTTTATTGAAAAATATAGGTTATTTTGGATAATACAGAAAAAGAAGCTGTAAATATACAGTAAAGAAGACAACAGTAAGGCATTATAAACAACAGTTTGCAGAAAACACAAATTCTCATTCACACAAAATTAACGTTTGAAATTACCTGAATGCATCGTGTAGTGTTTAAGGGATAAATATCCAGTTATGCAAATTCATTATTATTTTTTTTTAGAACAAGATTTTTTTTTTTTTTTACTCCTTAAACCTCCAAGCTGAAACTCCAATCTGAACTTGTACTCAGCAGTGATTACCTATAGAGAAAGAAGAAAGAAGACGTACTTGACAGGCTCTCCCAAAAGTGAGCTCCACATGCTGAACATTTTTTTTGGCTAGAAAATTATAATTTGGCACATCTGTCAGTTTCAGTTAAGGCAGTGAAATCAATCAGCGCAAGTAAGCCTTCAATACTTCTGGCCATGGCTTTTTAATGATGCAAGAGACATAGTCGAGCTGCAATGACTGTGCAACTTGCACTTTTCTTAATGCTCTTGCAGCTATTGCTGGCCATTTTTTCCTTTCTCATCCACTCTTCAAACAGATACAACAGAAACATGGCAGGGATTTTTTTTCTTCTTTTTTTGTAAAGATAAAGAAAAGACAACAACAGGTATTAAACACACATACGAGTAGTGTCTGGTTTAACTGGGCCTGCCGGTACATTTGATTTCCAATCATACACACTCTAAAGCTCTACACATACCGTATGTAGTGGTGAAACTGTTTAAGGCAGCCCCTTGACAAATGACTATCAACATCTTTTACACAGTTCAGTTGCACAACTGCAGTTGCTCGGATGTACAAAAAAGAAAACAAGGAAGGAAGTGGTTATCAAACTCTTCTCAGTTTCAACTTGAAATCACAGATAAGTAGAAGGAAGGTGGCCAGTTTGTGTAAGTTAATATAAATCTGATGGGGAAAAAAAACGGAATCTGTTCGTTGGAAAACACATAACACAATGTTTAGTGTGCCACACGCTACTCTTTACACCTCTGGTTTCCTGTAGTAACACCATGCTCTATGCTAATCCAGCCCAATGCATCTCCATTAGCTTTACAACCCTGCCTCTCTCTAATTTACTGAGTCTAAGCCTGTGTGGCGCTCAGTGAATTAAAAACAGAGGAGAATTTTTGGTTTGGGCTCTGTGGTCCAGATTTACAGCAGGAAATGGCAGCGTCACCAGGACCCTGAGTTACATAAGTGAGAATAAGGGAGAAAAAAAAAATCTGATAGATCTATGGCACTGCTAAAATATTTTCAGATGAAAGAGGCTTAATGCAGGGCCTCAGACTCCAATGACAAACACAGCTCCCTTTATTGTGACAAGATACCCACCACTGATCCTGTTGTGACAGAGGCCTTCTGTTCGGCTCAGGCCTCATGATGTCCCACAGCCAGAGACAGAAAGCACAGCGAGAATAGAGGCGAACCGAACGAAAAAAGCACATGTGACACGTCAAGTGAGAAGAGAGAGAGAGAGAGAGAAAGGGTGAACGGAGTTTTAGTTGTGGAAAGTGTTTTTCCTACAAAAGTTCCTTTCTAACCAGTACTCCCTGCTTACTTCTGGAATGTTCCATATTCAAAAAGTGTCTGCCCTTCCATGTCAGTTCCCTCAGTGTTCAAAAGGGAGAGCCAGATTGACAGACAAACAGAAAGTGGAGGGTAAGGCTCCCTGACAGATGGAGTTTGGGGTTGTCCTAAAGGAGTAGTCACACTTTCTTTGTAGCCCTATAAAGTGAGAGTCCTCTATCTTCTTCACAATCCCATCCCCACAGTACCCAGCCACTGCGTCTTCTTCCTGTTCAAGTTCAAATCCGCAGTGTCAAAGGATTTGCGAGTTTCACATAAACCACTTCCTCTGCTTTTTTTTTTTTTCCTCCCCCGTTTCATGCAACTTTGGACTCTCATACACGGATCTCATCGTCTTCATCCTCCAAGAAAGAGGAGAAGTTGCTCTCCTCTTCTGGCGGGGCACTGAACGTGGCGCTATCTGTATCTCCTGCATACATCTGGCTGTTGGGTTTCTCATCCAGAGCTGCAGAGCCAGAGCTGGACATGGAGCAGCTATCTAGATGCTGCAAGTGTTTGGGCCGTATCTCTGGAGTGTACTCTGGGGTGTACTCTGGGGTGTAAGGCCCTCCGTCCTCAGGCCTCAGATCAATGGAGCTGGCAGGGTGCACAGATGCCTCCAGATCTGCTGCTTCCTCGTCTGCCTCCATCTGCTCTTCTGCATCCTCATCTTTCCCCCTCTCTACGCTGTCCTCCTCTTCCTCACCGTGGGTGCTGAGGGTTGGCGAGGCACGGCCCTCGCTGCTTTTGCCCTCCTCGTAGCCAAGATCATCATCCTCCTTCTCCATCACACCCAGAATGTCGCCCAGCATGGAGGGTCCCAGGTCAACGTGGAAGGACATAACCGACTCGGCGTGCTTCATTCCTCCTCCGTAGTGATGGGAGCTCTCTGGCAGCTCCGTCAGCTCACCAAAGCTTCGTTCTTCCAGCTCTAGGAAGTGAGTGGCTGCAGCTGCGCCCCTCCCGTCCAAGTCCCCGTGCTGCTTTAATGGACTTGAAGACAAACTTTTTGCCACCATACCGTCCCCTCTGTCGTCATCATTAAGAAAAGGCAAAGACATGGCGTTTTTGACATAGCCGGGTGAGCCTCCAGAGAGCACCAGGGAGTTATCTCTCTGCTCATCCACTCTGGTCACTGACTGGGAGCGCTTGCTGCTCCTGAAGGTGCGCGACAACAGACCAGGTCGAGGAGAGCGCGGGAAGGACGTGTTGTCAGGCGGAGGCTCCCCTGAGCGTGTGCTGAGGAAGGAGGTGTCTCCAAAGGCATCGCCGCTGCGGCCGACATGCATGGTGTGGCGAAAGTCGCCCAGAGGAGCACTGATCATCTCCCTGGTCAGGTCCATGCGTGAGCGACGCTTGGTCTGGGAGGACGCCACTAGCTGTTTTAAGATTGGCATGGTGGCTGATTAGGCGTTTTGTTTTGTGCAAAGAGGTAGTCGGCTTACAAACAAGGCACCCAAATCTTCAAGGGAATCTTGCTAGAGACCTTGGAGTGAATCTTGATGCTCCTTACTTCCAGTCAGTCTGGAAACCTGAAAACATTGAAATAAAATACAATAAATTACACAGAACCCATTCAGGATTGTGCACGCTCACATACTTTCACTTTACTTAAAATGAAAGATTGAAACAAAAAAAAAAAAAAAGAAGACAGTCAACATTGTACACATCAACTCAAACTACTTCAAATCATACCCACTAAGACACATTTATTGGTGTCAAATGGCAGAATCAATGGCTGTCAGCTGTTATTAAGAAAATCTATAATCTATCTAACGCATAGCTTTCACATTATGTTGTAAATCATTTTCACATTTGGCTGTTCAAGCCCATAAAATAAATAAAAACATTTCTAGGAATGTCAAATGTTCCACTAATTGCAAGAGCTGAAACTATCAATTATGTAACTCTATAATGATAAGCAGCACTCTTCCAACATCTCTGCGAGATGACCTCTAAAATGCACTGGAAGAAAGAAAGGGATGGGGAACACCACAGGATTTTACATTTGAAACGGCATTATAACTCTAAGCAAAACACCAACCACAGACCAACATGAATCAGAAAGGGATAGTTGAGGGCTGCCAGGGATTTTCTGGTGAGAAACTGTGACTGCACAGCGTACACTATAGAACCAAAAGCTTATCTTCTAGTCACGGAAAGTCACTTATACAAGAACAAAAATACAAACACACATCACCTGACTATACGGGCGCGTTGTTTTGACAAATGTATGAGGATTTGTTACCAGAGGAATGAGAAATGACAGAAAATATTCCCTATCCGTCGTCTTCTTCGACAACGCTGTTTAAGCCCCTAGAGGTTTGTGAGTGACAGCTGATAGAAAATGTGTCTCTACATTATTGAAAGCTCAGACAGAGGAAACCTCACCGCAGGCTGCCAGCCAGACACTGCTGCTTCCTCAGGTGGTGCACCGGAGGACAGGAGCAGGGTGTCTCATTAACTATCCATCCCCACATATAAAAATACAACATGAAAAGAACGCTGCCACGGTGGTCTGCAAAATTAAACGCGAGCAGTTTCGGCTCACAGACATCAAAAACACATGCACGTCTGAGTAGTGGGTGGAAAATCTCTATGGCTACACGTAAGCAGGCCACAACGAAACTCTTACCTTGCCGTGCACCTCTCTGACTTGCACATATGGGCCTCTTTCTTTGTCTACTCATACAGGAAGATCACCAAACCGGTCAGAAACATAAACCTCAACTTTAGATTTCTTACAGGCAAGCTTTCAAAAGTCGTCTTTGGTAGAAGTGCCGTTGGGAGTTCTCAGTTGTTTAATGTGGCAGGCTTTTTAATGCATTGACCTCGTTCTTCTGTCTCCACCCCCCGTCTTTGCCAGCTGAGCCTCGACTCCTCTTCCTGTTAATGCCCTCACCTGCTTTGGTTTCCATAGAAACACCCTCCTACAAGCAAGCAACCGTGTTTCCTGTCAGAAGCTGCAGAAGGCTTCAGACTTCATAGATGCATTCAACACATGGGCCTCTGTGTCAGCCAGAGAATAGACCTCTTTAATCTGATGTCTGTGGTGTTTTCAATCATTCACGCCATCTGTGCTGTTATTTTCTATCTGTAAAATTGAAAATAATAATAAAAAAACACAGAAATGCACCAGTGTTGTAGACAAGAAGAAGGAGCCATCTAGATAAACAGAAATGTATGCGGACGTTTTTAGTCTTTTTGCCCGAGGCTGGGACAAGATATGAAAACTTTCCATGAACTCAAAATGGTTTCACTAAGACACACAAACAAGGTCACCCATTTTGCAGAAACATGTTTATTATTGAAGCTGCCTGTCCTGATTTGTTTTTGGGAAATAATGATGGGGAAATATTTCACACCCAGCCAAAAAAACAAAAGTTCTTTTCTCTTCTGACAAGTTGCTCCTGGGTGGCATAAACAAGGAAAAACAACTAGTGGAGCTGCTGAAAAAGCCCACCTCCCACTCCGCTATCTCACCCCTCAGGCCAGGATCAAGCTGAAAAGCTCAATGGTGCCGATTGCACGGACATGGATGTAGAAATTTGGTACAGACCACCAGAACGTTCTTCATCGGCTGAATCTAAACCAGATCCAAGGAGCTCAGCAGCAGCAGAGATCCACATTTACATCCAAACAGATTCACAGATCTGTACGGCTTTATTTATAGCTTTGTCATTCTGTGCGGAAGTGGACGTATGTATGAGTGGGTGCACATGTGAATGAAGAAAAAAAAGGAGAAAAAAAACAGAAAAGGGCCTGAGAAGACAGCAGTTTAGCGTGGGAACCAGTGGGTCACAGTAGGGAGGGGGATTGACTTTATAAACAGACATTCACAACGCTCATGGTCTGACTGAAACAGAGCCCACTGGAGACACAGAACATGGTGCAAGAACAGACAGGAAAAGCAAATGAAGCATGTCTGCATCATTTCATTTTGACAGTGATGCTTCTCAAAAGCTAACACGCACTGCACTGACCTGCAGACTTTGAGCCCTCTGAGCGATATGTAAAGATTATGAGGTTGACTGACCTGCCTTGATGTGGATGTGGTATTTTTCACTCGCCGAGTAAAAAGCAGCAGAGCATGCATGCATGCACACTGCGATAAACATAAGCACACTGGGAATGTTTCAAAACGGTCGCCAGTCCTCCAATCTTTTCACATCTGTTCGGGTAAATGATACCTCAGCCCATTTCCTTACATGTATTTTGCCACAAAAAAGTCATGTTAGCTTGGTTTACATATCACATATTGGATTTTTTAAAAATAAAAATACTTGAGTCTTCAAAGATTTAAATATCTGTCTAAATATGTCATGGTTCTGGCCACTACTTTGTGGGGGGAAAAAAACACGGTCAATTTCCTTAGACGCTCTGAGGCAACAGCATAGAAATAATCTAGGAAGTAAGTAGAAATTGGTTGTTTTACTTCTACTAAATGGGTGAAAAGGGGATCACTAAATTAAACAGTAACTTCAGCATCGCTGCAGTCATTACTTAACACTACAGACAGATGCTACACTGGAGGAAGTGTACAAACAGTGGCTGCAAGCTTAAGCTACGAGTCAAAAATCACTCGCATAATTAGCATGCATCCATTAAGTTTTTATAGCTCAGCAAACACACAAAAAGCATCACCAGAAGACTCACTGGGACTTAATATGCATGACAAAAACTCCAGATCAACAACAGAAAGAAATATTGACTTCCTGGATAATTTGTGTTTAAGACAGACATAACTTTTCACTTCTTGTTAATACTCTCACACGAGCCCACTCAATACTAATACACAAGAGATCACTCACAGACCCACACACACACACTCAAAAATGACTTATGGCCCATTTCCAGGATTGAGTATTGATGCACCTTCTTTGTGCCTGATTTGTCCTGTGTGTATTCTACTGTCTGGAAGGGTGGGGGGGTGGCTGCTGTGATGGTGCAGGCTCTCTGTCTGCATCACTTGAAGTCACTGACCTGGATGGACAACCAAATGACCTGAGGGTGAGATGACATTAGGGGGTGGGAGGTGGGAGGCCACATGCATCCAAAATCTAGGTGAAAAATGGGGAGAAAACGGCTGTGCCCCCATCATACCATTTGCAAGCATCCTATTTTTTGTTAGGAAATGTATTCCCACATGTTGATGTGCAACACCAGCAAGAGCTTGTTGAGTAAAGGCCGGACCAGCACAGACTCGGCCACACATGCTCCAGTAATTAAGAAGACAAATGGCCTCTAGTAGATAGGTATCTGCCATGCAACTCAGTTAGCGGGCCTGAATGTCTCATTTAGGAAGGAGCAGCCAAAGGACAAACAGTGGAAATCACATTATGTCTCAATCAGACAAAAAGGCAACAACAGACATCAAGCAGATGATGCCCTCTGAGATAAATAGAGCAATGCTGCTCTAATGAGAATTTACAAATGAAAGCCCTCCTACTTACAAGAAAGCCAAATTTAGCTGTTACTTAAATGGTCCATTTGGGACACTCTAAGAGACATGCCATTTGCTTGTGGTGCTCAGAGTACGCTGCTGACCTAGAGGGTATCTTGGATGCCTTTCTACACCACCACCCATTTCCTAGAGCAATTCTCCAGCATGCAGCTCTGATACAGCAAATCTGGTCTAAAGAGCAAAGCAAATCTAAAATCTGTTACTGTGGAATGCTGAATATGAGGAAACAGCAAGTACTGTAACAGACTTTGCACTTACTAACCAGCCACGCTCATAATGAACTTGGTCTGTACAACTATTCCCCCAGAAATGATGTTATCTCTCTTTCTAGAGCGAAAACGGTTTGTAAAAACAGAAATGCAACATTTTGTTTGAGTTTTTTAAAGGAAAAAACACATGTTCCTAATTACCTGTTTTGCGTTACTTTAAATGGGATTCTTTCGTGTTTGCGACTTAAGGACAAACAAAACTAGACAACACTCTGAGCTTTTAGGAAACTAGAGACACTTTATAGACAAAACAACCAATTGATTCATGGGGAAGATAGCAGACATAAATCAACTGTGAAAATAATTGTTAGTTACAGCCCTAGATGGACATCTAATCAAATCAGGAAAGATGCACACTGAGATAAGTAGTTCCCAGAAAAAAAGGCAAATTTATCTTTCTTGTTGTCAATAATCATAAACCAATAGCTAAAAGAGCTCAATACTTATACAAATCCTCCAAAAATCATTCCTCTGAGTATAGGAGGAGGCAAAAAAAGGTATTTTTGTGTGTATTTTTCAAATACAGACAGCAATAAAAACTCCCAAATCAGTGCTTTTTTTTTTTTCTTTTTTTCCTGTGTTCACTTACAGGTGACAAGTTGGTGTGAGGCAGTCTGTTATGCTAATGTCACACCTTACCCAGCAGGGCACTCTGCTCGGTAAGGATCAAAGAACAACAGCTTTTTGAGCTTCCCTGCTAATAAAAGTGCCTGTAGGTTTTCCAATTGGTATTCATGTTGGCGAGTGCTTAAATCTGCAGTCATCCTGAGATCAGTGAATGGAATATCTGAAGTAAGCAGCTCTGACTGGAAAAAACAAACTCACCAGAAGTCAGCAGTGTATAAAAATAGCGTTCAGCGTTGTGGTAAATGATCATTAAACTCAACAGACCCTTAATGCCAGATAATCAGTATGGAAGCCGCCGCGCTACATACTCAAAACTTTCAAGTGTGAAAGTGAAAGTTAGTATGAAAGTCCCTGCTGAGATCAGACCAGACAGCTAGGAGAAGGGAAATTGAAAGACAAAAGAAGAAGACCAGGAGAGAAGGCAACAAAACAGCTTTCAAAGAAGAGCCTCAACAGCCAATGAAAGGCTTCCTGGCAGAAAACAGCCCTGCAGCAAGTCAGCTCGACATACACCAGCTGACCTCTGATACCCGAGAGGAGATGACTTGTCTCTTTTACATTTACAGCCAACACAGCCTCCAGATATGACACTCCATCTCTTTCTGTCTGTGCTGCGCTGCGATGAAACTGACAGCTTTTATTACAAACACAAACAGCGGATGGCAGACAACGTGTTTTTTTCTGCTTCAACACACGCAAGATCGAAAAGCATTCTGCGGCTTAAACAAGATTGGTAAACATCATTTTCATGGATATTCGATGCCTTTGTAGACACTAACAATGTTATCCACCCCTGCTCTGCGATCATCTCTGATTGGAATAAAAGTTACAATCCCCGCTACTGAAATTGCAGCCAGCATGGCTCAGCATCAACGTCATCAGTGTACTGGGCAGGCCATTGAGATACAAAGGGAGGGTGGGAGGGGGCCAGAAATTGGCACCACTCTGGCATTCAGAGTGCCTGAACAGAATCAGAGTAAATGAACAGAAAGCAGGTTCACACAGGCGATATAAACAAGAGACCATGCCAGAAACCACCACTTAACATTAGTTAGAGTGTTTTGAGTGATGAGAAATGGCTAAAACGTTTCCAGGTTTTTCATTCTGATGCAGTTGAACCTGGAAGGTCAACAACCACCCTCAGACCATTCATAACTGTCTCTGTCTGCACAGAAACATCCACATGACAGGATTGCAAGAATATAACTAATTACCACTGAGATAAGTGACCAACAACCTCCAAATGAGATTCCCAAAAACTAATTAGCCACACATGAAATGTTTTGTGGAGGAACATGTTAGGAGAGACATCCACAGGAAGGGCAGGGAGAAAATGAAGCAGTAAACCCTCCCATCACTCCGGAAATCTCCTCAGCCTGCCCTTCCTGCCCACTCATAATGTAAACAAGGCTTTGCTCCATCATGCTGTATTACAGATGGGTTATCCAAACAAACACAGCCCATATCTCCATCAACGCTGGGTTTTAATAACCTACAGGGCTATGGGCCAGCGCTGACGCCGTGTGTTCAACAACAGCTCCAAATGCAATATGTATCAGCGCAGGAAGCCTCAGGTTCAGCGACTTTAATTATTTTAAAAGATGAGCACAAGCGGATTTTCTCTACAGCAGGTAGCTGAGTCACAACAGCTGATGACAGCTCTGGCCTCGGGCCCAGGTGTCTGTGTCGTGGGTGTCTCGAAGAGAGAGAGAGAGAGATTGCATTTTTAAAACACTCAAGAGGAAACCTGCGCTCCTTGATGGAAAGAATGCAGGGAAATTATGGGATTCAGAGACTCTTGCTTAAAACTGTGAGAGTGTCATAATTACAGGGTCAGATCAGCAGAAAAGAAAAATAAAAAGGCAAAGGCTGGTGGGAAGCCAGAGAAGCAGCTATCAAAGAGTAGGGGCTTCTTCTGCCCTTTTTTGTTTTTTTTTTTTCCCAGAAAATACAAGAAACTAACTTGTGTATAGCAAATTGTGCCGGAAGACGGGCAATCTGCAGTGCTGCTCTTAAGTAAATAGTACATGAACTTTGCATTTGTTCAGAGTTTATTATGCAAAAGTTGGATAAATGCAAATCCAACATGAGAAGTGAAAATGTTTTTGATGAAATAAAGTTACTTCTAAACTGAAAAAAAAAAGTTGGGGTTACAGATTATGAGCCCCTGTCATTGTCTGCTGCTGCGTTTCTATGAACTTCATTCAATATTTGCATCTAGTTACAAGGAAACAGGATAGCAGTGGAGAATAAACATATCCTCCAGCTTACCAACCCCAGAGCACAGGGTCACAAAGTGGCATGTTGGATAAGACCAGAAAACAATGCAGCCAAACAAAAGGCACAGGAACAAACACAGCATTCACACACGGACATACGAGACGCTCGAAGAATTTGACGTTGGGAAAACAAGGTTATAAAAAAAGGTAGGTGGCAGTGAGCTAATGAGCTGTCACAAGTACAGAGAGAGAGAAAGAACGTTTCAAGTGCACTGGGGTTTATGTGTATCATTTGCAGACTATTGGTAGAAACTAAAGCAATGACGAAAACCCTCAAACTACACATCTCTTTAACATACTTGCCATAGGCTATATCTGCTCTCTATAATAATAATCCAGAAATTCTCTATCGACGTCCTCAGAGGCATTCCAGAAAAAATAAATAACAGTTTACATTGGTATTTCCTGGAATGTGAAGGGGATGGACGGGACACACACATTGCCTCAAATGAGCACACAAACTGCAGACATGTTCAAACATAGGTGCAGGACTGTACACTCAGTGGCCACAAATAACACAGTTTCACTCCAGCGCCACCGCAGTAGCGTTTTGAAATGCTGATTATCTCCAAATTAAAAGTAAAGAGCACAAATTTGCTCACTTTTGTAAACAAAATTATGAGCAGGTTGTGTTTCCCGGGACACGAGCCAGCAAATTGCTTGTCCACGCTGTGCTGTGCCCAACAGCGGAGTGCGCTTGGCACGGTGTCCAACACCTCAAGGAGGAAGGATAACTTTCACCTTCAGGCACTAAACACGTCTCCTGCAGGCAAATTAGGTGCTTTGTAATTTGTGAAAGAGAAGACGGTGCAGAACCTGTGCGGGCTCGTTAAAAATGTGTCGCCGCTTGTGGAAGACATGTCAGAGGCACTTCTGGGAGGAGGGGGAGAGTAAACAAGCTAAGTCTATGACACATAAATCTCTTGCACTGTCATCAGGCTGAATCCATCATAGTGTCTGGGCGGGCAGCGCAGTCTGACATGTGACAAAAAGCCTGTTTTGGATAAGACAGGTCAAATGTCACATTGAAAAACCAGCAAGGCCACTCAGTTTGGCTCACACGGACACCTCTGATAACTTGAACTCCTCAAACAACTGCTGTGAGCTGTTATCAGTGTGGCGGTGACGGAGTGAAGGCCTGCAGACATGAGGCCCGTCATCTTGTAATGCCAGTCAATGAGCTCATCACACGCCGCCCCTGCCAAGCCAACCGGACAGGACTGCCAAGTCTACAGGCTCTGGGATGTGTGGGTGATGAACTGGACAAACAGAACACGTGTGTGCTGCATGCGTGGGTACAAAGGGTGTAATGTGGGATCTTTTTTTTTTTTTTTTAAACCCACCCCCAGCATCAGACAGATTTGTGCCATTTCAAGTCCTACTGATATCTAAAGATACATTTCACTCACTCTGGAATATTTATGCACAGATGATATCAGAAAATATGGATTTGTACACTGCACTCCATGCAAAAACATGAAGTCATCAAACACACCTTTGGCCTCATTGTGCCTATTCTGTAGTTTATCTGCCCTTAATTGAGGCCTGTGGAAGTTTTTTTTGAAGAAAAGTGATAAGGCAAGCATAAAAACCCCCCACTGTGCATCAGTTTTAGCTTCGGAACATCCCCAGAGGAGGTAATAATGGGAATTAATTCAGATTTCTTTCTGAAATGCTGAAGGCAGAATAGCTCGATTCTCGCGATAACAATTCTCACCACAAAAGATATTCTTCAAAGACTAAAAAATAATAAGTAATCCTCTCTATTTAACATCACTTGATTGACTTGTGCCTGCAGACGACTGCTGTTCGATCATGATAGAATGAAACGCTGATTCTGGGTGGGTCAATAGCAGGAGAACAATAATAGCTGACCAGAAGCGTCTGCAGCCTGGCGCACCGTGCGCTCAGCAGAACCGCTGGATGAAGCCAGAGAAAGAAAACAAAACGCACACATCTGAGCGGCACACACACACGTGAAAGAATACATTTTAGCCCGTGGAGTTTAAGTGCAAGCACAAACATAAAGCACACACGCTTACCGAGCATCCCATTCATAAAAGCCGGGTGCTGCTCCACTTTAAGGCCCCCAGCAGGTCGACAGTGGGGGTGCATTCATCAAACGAAAGGAGATGGAAGGACGCTCAAGATGAGCTCTCTGTTCCAAACAACGCGTTCACACCGACCTGTTTCTTTTTAGAAAAAAAAAAGAAGAAAAAAAAAGCAGAACAGCTACTTTCACTGCATCCTCACTAACGGTGCTTCTGCTCCGGAGCGCAATAACTCACCACAATACCTCCTGCCGTAGTGCGTTTGAACACGCCCTCTTCCATGGCTGCTTAAAGACACAGACTGCCAGCATGGGGCCACTCACACTGCTTCCATTTCATTTCTTTCACTATAAGAGGCGGAGTCTGCACAGTCATGTCCAACAATGACACAGAAAAAGACACCAGGAAAATATACCATTAGCCTTAGAGCCACTTCATGATGCTTCAAGGGCCACAGTCAATACACAACCAATAATCATTAACCCGTCTTTGCAAGTGTATATTCAGCACTGAAAGCAGTTTTTACATTACAAAAGGCAGAATTGTGCATTCCTCTTAACATAATATTCTTCAGCAGGTCTTCACCTTTTCTTTGTAATGTCTAAATGTTTCACTGTGATGTAAATTATCCATGTCCATCCTCCATCCAACATCATTTTGACAGAAACATGTAATAATATCTTTCTTGCAGTGTCCAACATTTTATTTTTGGAAGGTGCAGGCGCTCCACGTAGGGGTGACCTCATCAGTGCAGCAGCATGTCTTTTTGTACAGTCAGTAATAAAATAGTCAGAATTGCACAACTCCCACAATATGGCTGTCAATATCGATCATGGGGAGTGCTTTATTCTCTATGTGAGTTCAGGAAATGTATTTTTGTTTTAAAGTTGCTGTAAAATTAGCCGTCTCTTGGATTCTTTCCTTTAAAAGTCCCTACCTAGTGACTGTAGTCAGATTATTTGTACTTTGAGGAGAATGAGGGATGCAAAATGTGTATTTCTCACACCGTCTGACATCATCGAAGAGTTTACTGAGCAGAGGAACCATTTTTTTCGACTTGTGTATTCCATGTTAATGAGTTGGCCTCAGTCAGTGACCACTCATTAGTACCATTGCAATGGAAATGAGTAGGAAGCAGCTAAAGTTCTCCCCCTAAGGCTCTGCTCTGCTCTACTCTCGTCTCTCTGAGCTCAAGAGAAAGGAATGTGTGAATGGTTGATAATTATCAAAGGGCAAAAGCCAGTCTACCTGGTCAGAATGACTATTCACTTTTGTCTTTCACTGCATTTAGCTTTGAAGTCGATCTATCTGTCATCCGTCCACGCTGTTCTTCAAAACCCCTGTTCTCTCCATAACGCATGGACAGCATCCATCACACACATTCAAAAGTTATTTCCTGCCTCTGGCTTTGTTCCCAGAATGCTGTGTCCCACCAGCTGATGGGAGAACATGGCTCTTTATGATGAGAATTTGACTGCAGTGGCCTTTTGTTCAGACTCAAACTGCAGTCAAATTTTATATTACTTTTTTTGACATACCCGTGGCCCAAAAGCATCAGTTTAACTGCTCTCTTCTTAAATGGCAGACATGCACTTAAAATGAATATGAAATATGTATGTTTTATGGATGGTTCATAACCATAAGACGTTCTCTTTGTCCCTCAACATGCTGATTAACATCTGGTTTATGCAGGAAATTGGAGAATGCATTTGCAAAAACTGCAATAACATGATGACTGTGGACCTTGTCTTTGTGCCGGTCAGTAGCCTGATTTTTCCACCTGGCCTTCATCCTAGTATGATTAAACAGTGACCGCCAGGACTCAAAAATGGAGGCAACACTGAAGAGCCAAAAGCTACAGTTCCTCAAATGGCCACATGAGGCTGACTCCAAAAGCGACCCCTATGTTAAAATGTCTAGCTTTACAGCAGAAACAAACACGTTTACAGCCTGGAACAAGAAACAGTTTTGGACTGTATAGCTAATTTTCTCATTCATGACCACTAAAAGGAGGGTAACTTTTTACATAACTCATCTATTGAAATTTTATTAAGGCTTAAGATTTAGAAATTTTGTCTAATCTCCAATTCTGTTTCACCTCTGCATTCATTTTTGGAATGGCTAGGATTGAGGAGGAGTCAGGCACTAGCAAGACAGTGATGACTCCAAAACTGCTGAAATCTTTAATGCAAAAATAGATAAATAAATAGTTGAAATACATGCACAGTTTTGTAGGAGCAGGGTTCTAAACAACCTACACTACAGAGATGAAACATTAGCAGGTGGATGTAAAGTAAGAAAAACAAGCAACTCCCCTCAACAGTGAGTGGAACATTTCCATTAAAGTCATGTAAATAGTCAGAACATTTTCTTTACAGCAGCAATAATACATCGCTATTATCCAGGCATATAGCATTGACAGCTCTGACAGCGCTGTTAAGTAGAACATCAGACGGATATGTTTTATGCAATGTTATCTCAGCCTGTGCCTTACCCCGTGCTTCATCTTTTGCTGTTTGATATTTGCAAATCGTTCTCAGTGGTGGCATTTGACATTCAGGATAAATTGTAAGATGTCTGGCTTTTTTTTTTTTTCTTCTTGTTTCACTATCTCCTTAATGCTCACAGGGAGATATGTAGAGGGTTTTCTCCAGACTAGCCATGGGACCCTTTTAACCTTCCAAAACTTTCATTTTCAGGTTTACAGTGTTAGCAGTCTGGTGCAGCATATGAGGGGACTATGCACAATTTTTTTTTGGAACTTTGTAGATGACAGTCTTAAGTGGCAGTAGCCATTCACTATGCATAAGGACAGAAAGCCCTTTTAGACTGAACTGATGCATAAAAATTTCAGTACACTGCCTTCCGGAGGAACGTGGTCAAACCTGCTGTAACGCATTTGGCAACGTTCACAAAATTACTTTTATCAGCTGCTCTGACTAAAGAGGCCTGAACTGACTGCACATAGTGATGAATATGTGATGCTACTGGGAAAATATAAAACCCTAAACCAGACATCTTCTTCATTTTGACAAAAAATCCTTTGGTCATCCAAACTTTTCAAAAAGCTGTAACTTCCAATTGACATCTGTATCACACATCATGATTTTTGTCCTAATTTTAGAGGCACCAGTCAAGATGAGTTAGCTGTGCTGCAGATGTACTCTAATACACGCTACAAACACAGTCGGAATTAGGACACATTTTGTATAAGTTGATCCCATGGGGAGATGCTGAACTGAAAAGAAAAAAATGTGACAGATTTGTTGATGTGAGGCAGCGCCTGTCTCTCTCTTTCTCTCTGTCTTTGTGGGTGAATGTGTGCGAGCAGAACATTTCTCTGTGTCTCCCTGCAGTGAAGTGGAACAAGGTGAGCAGCAGTTATGGAAGAGTTGAGTTTGTAGAATTGCCATCATTTTTGAGTCAGAAAATAGAATTTTGGGGCTTTAGTATTTGTAGGAAAAAACATAATGTAGCTAGACATAAAATACAGATGTGATGTGACTATATATCCGACTAAAGAAAAGCTTTAAACCAGACTTTTTGTCCGTATACGATGATCCACTCGCTGCTGTGAATAAAAAAATTATCACGAGCTAAGTACTGCTGTTTTTCTTTCTTTTACAGCTATCTACCCTTGATTAGACTTTCACCTTCTCCCTAAACCTTTCAACCTGATCCCTTTGTTCCGCTCTTCTTTTGCCTTGCTTAAAGATCAGTGTTTTCTGGCCTGAAATAAGGAGATTACCCGGACACCTGTCATACCCTCCTCCAGATTTTCAGCATGCTTGCACCGGATCATGTTCTTCTTCAAATTCTTCCCTGTAACTCATGCTCTTATGCATCCCAATTATGTCTCTTTTGTGCCTGAGAGGATCAGGTCATTTCTGCTTTGTAGGATCAAGTGTCACTTACACATCACTTTGTATTCTAGACCATGGAGCTACTTAGAGCTGCCTGTGTAAAATAGTTGCATGATATGTTTTCTATTTTCTTTAAAACAACTTGTTTATACAGCTAATTCTCTCATATGTTAGAACTATAAATCTCTTCATTGTTTTTCTGTAATATTTCATCATATTCTAAAATATTCTGTGGATTCATGAAGCAAAAGCCATTACAAAATAGAATAATTTATTTTAGAGAGCTACCATGAATAGGTCCACACTGTTTCCTTCATGATGTATACAGCGATTTTTCACATTGGGAATTGACCTTGAAGACTGACTGTTTTAGTTTATACACTATGGGTCCAACTCCAGCACAGCAAAGTCCCATTCAGCTTTTGCAAAGAAGCAGCATATTCGAAAGTGTTGTAAAAACATCTCGTCATAACATACTGTCCTGTCGTAGCATAAAACATGTTTTCAGAAATCATATCAGCGCCATGTTACACTGTAACACGCTCAACACACATGTCCCCACCGAGCAATCCTTGGTGATGCAATTCACACATAACACCTGTGTTCTATTGTTGTCCACTCATGAATGAATCTTTTAAATAACCATCATCTTAGCAGATCTTTTCTTTAACCTAATGAGAAAACTGAATTTGTAACATACATGATACAAGCTTTCTTCTTTTTAGCTTTTGTTGGGAGTAAGTGACCAATTTATGTAATTCTGTCCAGAAACACACTGTAAAAAGTACAGAACTCTTGAAAAGTAGAGTTTTCAGTTCTTCTATGCTGTAAAAATACATTTGTACTGTTTTTTTTTGCCATTATTCTTTGTGTCTTAGTAACCTTATCAAAGTGAGTCATTGTTGTATTTTGTTGACAGCTATCGATGGCATAATGTTTCATGTGGCTGTGATGGGACTTACAGCAATAGAACCGAGATGATTTGTGCTTGTGGTCCTCAGTCATTTTCTGTGAAAAACATTAAAGCAAACATATGCACATTATGAAAGCTGACTGAGCTAGTGTAGCTACTGACATGAGAACCAGCACACAATCAACATCCTCAGACTACTATAAAGGTGCCACAATGCTTTAATGTGATTCATAACATTGTCACTAGTGATGTTCTGAAAATGTTGAGCTTGAAGCTGATTGATATAAATATCTGGTAAACAATATGAGACAAGTACATATAGTAAACACATAATGCAGTTCCAACAAAGATTAGGCAGAGTGAGAAACTCAAAGGCAGCTGAGGGCCTGGGGCCCGAGAGTGCCTCTTTCCAAGTCAGAGTCCATTTCTCACTATCAGTTTGTCCTTTGTCAAATATCGCTTATTCCATCAGAGTTGGTTT